AACGGAATGTCATTATACTTGTTGAAGGACAGTGGGCCTGGGAACCATGACTCGAGCAGCTCGCCGCTCATGCGGTTGTCACCTCTTGCGAGGATTTTAGCCTCTTGAGGCTTGAAAATATGGCCACTTCCGGTCGAATCGACCGCCACTGAAGAGTTAGCGTTTTTCCCCTCATTGCTCCTGCGTGCTCGGTCATTCACATCCAAAGTAATCTCCCAGTGTGTCCGACGTAGGTATCCTTTCCGCAACTGCACTAGATGCGGTAAACGACATTTGCCTTCTAAAATGCCGAAATTTGCAGTCGAAAGAACAGTCGCACGGTTGGGCACACATCAGAGCCCTGACGGTCACGTGGCGATTTGCGCCACGCCAAACTGGGCAGTAACTGCGTTTCGGCAACTTCCCATAACCTTCGCCGCCTTCGTACCACAGTCGGCGCGTCACGGCAGGCTGATGGAGGCTGTCGCATTATGTCATTCACCTCCTCACAGTCGCCGAATGACGACTTTCGACCAACAATACGCCAGCGCACCCAGGACCGTAGTTAAATGCCGTAGAGTACTGGACTCGCTGTCGAAATTTAATGAAGAGTTATTAAACAGATCACGTGGTCCTTCTTCTCCTCTTTCATGTCCAGGGGCACAGATGTTGTTTTCGGTTGTTCCGAGATTTCAGCCTGTCCCAACTGGAGAAAATTATTCTAACGGTTAGGATTTATCGACTTGGGTTCGCTGGTTCTCATTTCTGTGGAAATCACGAGACCGCATGAATAGTTCGCATCAGAATGAAAATTGGACCTTATCTAAAGAGTGCGTAACTGCCAACTTGCTGCATACTGGTACAGGTCTGGAGTTAATTTATCCTAGCATTCTGCTTGCCGAATCGTCTTCTGACATATAGCACTATCAAAGTTTTTTATCAAAATTGTTTACTATCCGTTAACGTTGCTTAGCATACAAGTCCCTCAGAGGCCGACTGGGAACCCCGGAAAGAATGAGCCAGTCTTCTGTCCTGACTACGAATAACCCGCTGTGTCTACGGGTGGCGTATGGAAGAACTGCCCGAACGAGAGTTTTATGGCGAATGCAAATGTTTCCTTGACCTGACTAAGATTAAACAGCGAACCACGCATTGGTATTTAGGTGTTAATGGATGCCTATTTAAAGGTCTCAAACGAAAGCGGTATTTTGACATGATGAATGCCACCCGGTAGGCAACTGAGCTTCACTGACGCCGTCACTTGGAGAATTAGAGAACCACAGACAAGTCAGGCCAAATTAGCCGCCTCGACCGTAACATTTCCCACCAAATCTTCATGTGTAGCCAACTGTGGGTATATTTTCCGAAGGATAAAACACGCTTCTCATAGGCTTCTGAAACTAATGAAGCCTCCTAACTGCTCTCCGATTTCTAAGACTCATTCTCCTTCGGTTGCATTGTCAAGATTGAAGAACTAATCCATTTAGATCCTGTGAGATCTGCAGAAGTACCTTTTGATGTCTTCACAGTTTTTAATTACCGTCTGGTTATCGCTTCTACTTCTTGAGAATACAAGCGAACGGCGCTTACTGTCGTCATTTTAATGGAATCAAGATCAATGTGCTATCCTGGTTGGTCATAGAATATGCAAAAAACTGATGAAGCTTAATACTTATGCATAAAGGTATTATTCATTCCTTTGGTGTATGCTGAGTAAATAGGACTATATTAAAGGATTTCAGGTATGGCTCTGGTTCACTATGTTTTATTTTAAACCGCAAACTGCCTTTTCAAGTAAAAATTGATTTTAGGATAAAACAAGACCTCTAAGCAGACAAGTCAGATCTATTAGTTGTCTACTCGCATTGTTTCTCTTGCCTTGGAACATCGAAACCCCTAGAAGTTGTATACTTTGAAATTTAAATGAAGACAGGGGTGTGGTTTATGGCCGGGATTACTTAATCCAAAATGCATTTATATTAAGCAAAAGAGTTGAACACATAAGAACTTTGCGGTACCACAAGTTTTTTATCCGGCATATTGTCAACAATTAAAAGAGGACACTAGTTTTACTATTTAATGATAATAGTAGATTAATTTAATGCTCCTTTTCTGCATTGTCAAAAAGGTATTGCATCGTCGCATTTTTACTCCGATGACTACCTTAAGACATCCTGACCGCCCTTAAACAATAGTCACTGCAAAGTCTTTCTGTTTCTTCCTCTGGCACGTAAAAATAAATATTGCCATTTATTTTTTGTGCAATTACTCCCCGGACCAAGTAACCCCGGCCATAAACCAAACCCTTGCCCACATAAAGTTAAATGTAAGCGGTACCGTGTGCTGCTCAAGTCTGGCTTATCTTTAATAGCTATGTCAATTTTCCCGCTGTCAGGTTAAAACCGGATTTCTGGTCCTTCTCGTCACGGAGGCGATTGTCCTGTTCTGCATGATGACCTATGTTACTGCATTTTTCCACTTGAATGAGATGCCCTCCTGGGCCAACTCAAGTCTGCCAAATGGGGCGTCCAACGCAACGCTCCCATGACAGTGAAGCTGTCCATTCCTCGCCAGGGTATCTTCTCTCAGATCTAGAAGGCTCCCCTACATCGTTTCATCTACATGATTGTCTACGCCTTTTACTACTGATCAACTGATTACCAGGACCACTCAATTTATTACAAAAAAGGAGAATAAATGTAAACACAGTTGTGAAGTCGTTGACTTCTTTTTATGTAAGGCCACAAGAATATGAACTCCCCAAACGATAGAAGGCCTTTTGCTAATTTGCAGAGGGTGGAGATGCAGCTAAGATTAGGGTTATTATTAATGTCTGGGTTGGGGTTATGGCTAAGACTAGGTGACTTCGGGTTAGTGTTAAGGTTGGGGTCAGGGTTAGATTGAAGAGACGGGAGTTGGTATTCTCTGGAATTTAGTGCAGGGTCGCCTGTAGAACGTGGAGTCCTTATTATCGCATTTAGCCGTTTCTCCTGCGAGACATAATTCAATATGTAGTTAATATGGATAGGCTCTCCTTGGTACATGGTTTTCAACTCACCCGTAAATTACTCCGTATGAACTACGGAACATTAACAGCATACCTTTAAATACGGGTTTTTCTGTAAATATGAATGAGTTTTCTTCTAAGAAGTTCAAGCGCTTCGTGAGGAAGTTTTCTTGTCCCCATGTAAACTTTATCCGAATGGACAAGGGTTTGGTTTATGGCCGGGGTTACTTGGTCCGGAGGGGGGGGGGTAATTGTGCAAAAAGAATAACTGGCAATAACGGTTTATAATCGGACATTGTCAGGCAGAAATAAGTGTCAGCCTTGATTTCAATCGGACATCGTCAGGGTAGAAATAAATGGCAGCCTTGAGGGGTACGTATGCGGATCGGACAGGACTGGCCTACATGTGGTATTGTATACGGGATTCAGAACTGACATCGTCAGGGCAGGATTGATACGCCGGCTGAGAGTCCGCGAGCGCGGTATTCCGTAAGTCTTATCTAGTTGTTGCTGCAAAAGTGTCTAAGCCAGTTGTTTACGGTTCTGAGCTATTCTGTCGTCCGCCTGTTTCCAATCAGCAGGGGAGCTGGGCTGATTGGCCGCAAGCGCAGGCGAGTTTAATGACAAACCTCGAATGGTCTTAACAGAGGCTCGACCAGAAGCGTGAGGCGGACAGAAGGGCAGTGAGACATCTCGGTGGCGAGCAAGTGTGCGGACCAAAACCAGGCTGCCCTGGTGCGTACAGGGAGGCACACGCGAGAGGCGCAGGGTTGCAACAGGCGCCTAGAGTACAGCCACTACACAGGATTAGTTCGGAGCTGTGCAATCGATTGAGTGATGAGCCCACTACCCGTGATCGTGCTGGTGGGCTGAGACTCGTGAGTGCCGGATATTGAAGCGTTTTTCGGTCAAACAGGGTATGTTTGGAGTCCCGAAATTGCGGAGAGCTTCGTTTTTATGGATGCGGATATGACCGGATAGGTCCAGGCTGTGAGTGAATATGCGTGTAATTTGTGTAGTGGGGCGGCTGCGACGGATTCGGAGGGTGTATTTCAGGGCTCCGAGCACCGGTGCACCGCTCAAAGTGTGATGGACTCGCAAGCTACCAACCAAGCCGATGCCCAAGGTGAATATGCGATCGAAAAGTTGACAGGTTGGGAGCTAGTCCGTATCGCTGGTTGGGCGGCGATGGGGATGTAGATATTGCCTTTCGGAACGCCCGATGTCGTCGCATTGGTGGTTGGACTAGAAGCGATGTTTCTGGTGAAGCTGGTCGTTGCAATCGACGCGGGGGTTGAACGAGAAGGGTGGTGCCAGTGTGCCAGGGCTGCGGTTCGCTGTCAGGATTATCACCGGCGATGAGTGTTGAAGTCGTCGTAGGTTTTGAGGCAGGAGTGACACTAGGGGTGTTCGTGGAATGATAAGCTGATGCTGCTGATTGGTTATTCCCTTGCGTTCGAAGACGTCTGACTGGGCGCTTAGCGCACTGACTGTGTGATGGCAGCGTGGGCAGGTTGAAGATGGTTGGCTTTAGGTAGTAAGGATCTGGGGCACCCAGAACTTGCGAGCAGTCCTTTTTGTTTTGTCAGCGACAATCAGATTTGCTTCGTAGCCGGTTGCGCCAGCCTTCGTTTCTCTTTACGGAACGGTCTGTCCTGAGCGAGGTCCTCCCATTTTTTTCGGGTTAACACGCAGTCGCTTCAGAGAGTTCAGTAAAGTACCCTTGTAGCGTCCGTTTTGCCTTCCCTGTCGGCGGACACCCGTAGCGCGTCTCCGCAGGAGTCGTTTGCTAATCACTGATCCTTCATCATTCAGCAGCTGCAGTTGTCTGAGCAGAGCTATTCCAGGACTGCGTGCCAGGGGTACTTTGCTTCCATCTCGGCTTAGTATTCTGAGGAGGCAACTAAGAAAACTGATGAAGGTTTCTGACTTAATTGGAGTATACGGTCCAGGTTTCCAGTCCGGACAGAAGTGTCATCAAGATTATGACCTTGTGTACCTTCAGTTTTGTTGTTCAGTCGAAGGTCGCATCGATTTCGCATGGAGAACAGCAGCCGGTTTTAAGTCGGTTGTCGTTTATATTGACTCGAGAAGTCCCGCATTCTGTGTTGGCTGACGGTTGGTACATAAATACCGTTTTGTCAATGCTGATCGGTAATCTGTAGTTGGTGCATCCGGCGTCGAAGATGTCTATGCTTCTTTTCAGATTTCCTTCGGCGGTGGTGTTCAATGCAAAGTCGTCCGCAAAGAGCAGGTCGTTGCCTGTAGTCGTGGAGAGACTCATTAAGGCTTGCATGCACTGGCTGTTGAGAACATGCCCCTCAGTACTATAGTCGATGCGGATCTCGTGGCGTCCGTCACGGTAGGCGTCTACCAGCATGGCAGAAAACACAAGGCCGAAGAGGACTGGGGCTAGTATGCAGACCTGCTTCACCCCGCTGTTTACTCCAAGTGCCTCTGAGGCTGTCCCATCATCCGTGACGCGTGCCATCATCCCCGGGTGGAAGTGATGCACCACATGCGTTAATCGCTGAGCATTGCCAAATTTCTCAATGACTTTTCACAATCCATCCTGATTCACCGCGTTAAAGGCTTTAATCAAGTCCAGAATTTGCTGCAGAGGTGGGTCGGCATTTCCTGATCCTTCTCTTGCAACTGGCGGTCGGAGAAAATCATGTTAGCAGTTTCAAAATGGCTCCGAAGGTCATGCTGGCTTTACAGGAGAAGTACTTACAAAGATGCCCGTTGAGACAGTTGAAGTAGATACATACGAAGACCTTCTCAGCGATAGTGAACGACGAGACTCCCCCGTAGTTATCACAGAGTTGTCTGTTTTCTATGCAATTATAAAGATGGACTACCGTCGCGTCCTCGAAGCCATGGGAACTTGTCTTCAGACCGGCATCTCTTGGAATAGCGTTGTGGCTTGATCCACCAACCGGCAGCCGCCGTGCTCGTAGACATCAGCTGGAATCGCGTCGGATCCCGGTGCTTTCCCGCCAGACAGTTGGTGCGCGGCGTAGATTGTTTCTGGGAGAGGCGATAGATAGAGGTCGATTCTCGTTCCCCCTTGCGGGAGTTGGTCGACGGCAAACGCCGGTCGGTGGTTTATGTAGGCTTGTGCAGCCTGTGCTTATCATCGAGCAGTCGGCTGATGTCAGCGTCGTCGTCGTCCGACCAGTCCTGAGGTTGACGACGCACGCGTCCGAGGACACCCTGGGCGGTCGAATGAATAGCGCCCCACATTTGGCATCACAGACTCTCCATAGAGACGTTTCTGCCAGGGGATTGCATGTATCCCAGTTGTTTGTATCCTTCTCTAGAATGCAATTGAGGACACTGACCTGACTAATTGAATAGACGGTATATTAAAAGATGAAACCGAACAAAAGATAACTTCGGGTGATTTGAACCGTCCAGAAGTAAACTGCGTCGATTTATTAGTCCCCACCAAGCAGGACGAATTGTTATCTTCAACTGACTTCGATAAAAGGACACAAACATATCTAGAACACGTCAAAGACTGACTTCCAGGCTGTCTGGGACAATGTTTTACTCAACCAAAATAACTCGACTATTCTCTAACTTATATCCCCGTCTGAAAGCCTTCATCATCTCTCTTAAATAGCATAGTCATTTTGTCGGGTGAATAAGCCAATCGGCTGGCATATTTTGTGTAAAGTGATTTGTTGTAGAGCCTATGTTAAGCAAACGAGAACCTTCCCGCGCATTGAATTACGCGCTCCAATGTACGTATTTTTTATTCATAACAAGATTCTCGTAGACATGTTCCTGTATCTCAAAAAATCCCTCATGCTCTTTCTGGTATCTTTTCTGACCAGAATGTTTGCCAGATTTTAGCATGTCTAGAGCTGAATCGTCTACGGGCAAGGTCCGCAAAGGCGAAAACATAATCTTTCTATGAGTAATTTTTATATGTCCGCCTTAAATAAACAGTGAACAGTCGATTTCAAACTTGATTTATGCAACTTTTAAACTGGCGTTAGTCTTCTTGTGTTAGGAGAATCGAAATGACTGAAGTATCCTTAACAATCTCGAAAACGAAAATATATCAGCTGTCTTTTCCTAACGTTTATGGGTTCTCAGCAAATTAATAGCAGAGGCACGTCTAGCACCGGAATCTCGTAAAGGATAAGCCTGGTGAGATGAACCTCGCACAAAGGATCTGCGCACTTTTTCATTACGCCTCCAGCTAATGGTCAGCAAGGAAATCAAAAGAGTAATCACCATAAAAAGTTTACATTACTAAGATGAGCCTTGCGCTGAATGTGCATGTACACTGGTAAAAGTCAAAAAACTCGAAAATGATCCTTATGGTTTAAAGATCCTCATGCGGCAAAACACTGATGAACAAAAAGGGGGTTTCTAATGCTAAAACAAAAAACCGAAGTGTTGAACGCAAAAAGGGCAAAATAATATCGTCTTGGCAGCATCTCAGAATAAGGGAAACGATTCAGCTAGTACGCTCTGCTGGCACCAGCCCCGCCAGGCCCCCTCAGCTATGGCGGTGGCGGGTTGGGTTGTGAGGAGGCTATCCGGGGCTGTAGGCAGGGCTGTAAGTTGGCATGCAACCACCAGGTCCTTCTTTCCTCTATCCCCGAAACATTTGCGCAGGGGGGCGCCTACTCATCGTCAATTTTGGCACTCCTTTACAAAACCGATTTTCGCGTACAAGGCGCATCCCCGCGAAACAGCGCTGTATAATCCTTACATGTGGCAAACCGAAAACCCAAAAGAAGTCTTGCTCCAGGCGACCCCACCCTCAAGCTATGATAGTTTAATGACGTCCTGCGCAGTTTCAGCTATTTCGAGGACGCAATGGACACAAATACTCATTAAAGCCATGGCTGATAGAGGTCATCCCCGTCTAAAATAAAATTCACATAGAGGTCTAGTATATCTTAAAAATATTGCCTGCTTTGCACTCAAAAATTCATTTTTTATGAAATATGTACCAGGGGACGTTTTTAATTTCATTACCGATTTTCAGCTTTTAAGAAAACGCCTGGTGCCTGAATATTTTTATACCTGGACTGAAGGGGCAGTGGCCCCGACTAGCCACCGTGCCGGCCCCGCCTATGAGGGGGCCATAGGCTAGCAGGGCGCATACGGGTATTGGCAACAGCAACATAACGGTAACAAAGCTGCTGATAAAGACAGACCCACTTTTTACTCTGGACGATCTAAACTGCGATGCAAAAACCTTACCTGTCACAGGAACCACCTTAATGGAAATGATGAGAGTTCTCTTGTGTCAGGAAGTGGTTTAACTAGTTAACCCTCGTTTCTCTAAAATACCCCGAATGCTCTGTAGAATCCCTTATACAACACCCAAGCAGCGGGTTTCGTAAGACCTATCAGTCTTCCACAGTCAAATCAATAATATTTTAGGACTCACCAAGGCAAATGAAATGATTAAAGCCTTCCGCCTTGGAAAACGGGCAACAAATCCGTCGAAATCAATACGCTTGCGACCTCTTAAAGTTGTGCTGGTCAGCGGCAAGCAAGCCAATCTCACTATTTCCAGGCGGTATAGGATAAAAGTTTCCAACCCAGGCATTTTTCTAACCAAACTACTCGTCAGCAAAAACAGTAACACGTCGTCAACAAGTTCTGGAACTAAGAAGGGGGTTCGGCGAAAGGGGGCAATTTATTTACATATAAGAACCAAGTAGGACGGCGTCCGTCATTCTTCCTCTGGACGTGTCCTGCCGAATGACCATGCAGTCGGCGTATTAAGTAAAGGCGCGGACCGCAATGTAACCACATACCCCGTCAACTAGAAATTTGAAGCATTTTGTCCCCGGTACAAAGCTGAAGTAGGCAAGAACGGCAGGATTTATTGGTACCAAAAAATTTCGCGACTGCTCTTCAACTGCGTCCTGTCGCTTCATAAGAGAGATAACGAGTGAGAAGAATACAACAGATTTGAATTCGTGCAGAAGATCAATGCAGAAACAGCAAGGTCAGGGTTTTGGGCAAAGCTGGCTAATCGGTAAAGTTAGTAACACAAACACCGTAGGGGAAGAAAGTGAAAAAAGGGGAACGTTAAAGAGCAAAAAATGAGAGGAGAGGGGAGGAATCATGGAGCTAGAGGCTACCATGGCAATGTTAGGTTAACCACGTGTTCCAATTGTTTACAAAGATCTGGTTTCACTCGTCGTATATAGGCCGCCTCCAGATAACGCAATGCCCCCCTTTTTTCACTTTCTTCCCCTACGGTGTTTGTGTTACTAACTTTACCGATTAGCCAGCTTTGCCCAAAACCCTGACCTTGCTGTTTCTGCATTGATTTTCTGCACGAATTCAAATCTCACTTGTTATCTCTCTTATGAAGCGACAGGACGCAGTTGAAGAGCAGTCGCGAAATTTTTTGGTACCAATAAATCCTGCCGTTCTTGCCTACTTCAGCAACTAGAAATTGCAATTCTTATGCATCAAAGCGTGAGTTTGTTACCAAAGTTCGACGACCTGAAGATCCACCTCTGCGATATATCGCTCGACGTAATCTCCTTAACAGAAACCTGATTGACCTAGCGCATGAATGGCCGTGATTTAGCCGTGTCTGGCTACCAACTGTATTTAAGATACTTTGAAGGTGGCGAACTCACGTATGTCAAGCATGGAGCAGTAATACCAGACAAAACCGATAAATTTTCGCGTAAGTCCGAGGCAATCTGGCCAGCTATTTAAATACCCGTTTCAGCAAGCCTCGATGTCCTAACCCCCTATCGACCGCCGAGCCGGGATCGGAACGCTCACCTGCTGGAGGGGCTAGAAATTTTTCCACACTACTGCATATCGTGATCGTGGGTGACTTTAGCGCGCCTAGCATTGATTGGAACTCTACCCACGCCAATAGCTCAGACGAGACCTTCAGTGGTCTCCCTGCAAACAGGACGCCGAAGTTATTTCTTACTCAACACGTCACGTTTCCAACTAGAGTATACGAAGGCCAACGGGCCAACTAGCTTGACCATGTCCTTACGAAATCGCTAGGCAGCATTCATGAGGTGTCATGTTTACACCCCCCTAGGCAAAAGTGACCAAGTCGTTCTATTGTGAAATTCCCCTCTCTTTTCTATGGCCGAGAGACCCCTGGGACCCATAACCTCAGGAGACTTACGCAAAGGCTGGGACCGGTTCCTAGAAGAAAATCACAAGCTCATCGAAGACCACTATCCGCCTTCGCGAAAGAGGTTTACAAACAGAACTTGATATCTTACGCAGGCTTTAAAACATGCGGTGAATGAAAAGCGGAAGATTTGGATGAAATCGCTTACTGTCAGGAGTCCAAATTTAAAGAAATCGAGTCAAGCACTCAATCCTCAGAAAAAGAAGAGATTTCGAACTGGCCCCGATTAACCGTTTCCCGGAAAGCTTGGAATTATTTTACTGTTTAATTAGACAGACCAGGCGAGAGAAGGACCCAATAGCATTGCTAAAGACTGCTAAAGATGAGAACCGCTCTAA